CTTTGGTTGTACAAACTTGGAGTATTTGAAAAGGGAAGCATTTTCATTTCATTTTGAATCAGTTTACAAGAATTGATCACTACACGTATCAGGCAACTTCTTCATCAGATGGTTTAATAATGGCATGGAGCTGCTGCGAGTATCTCTTATCACTCAAAGCGTAAACATTTTTTACTGACTTATTCCCACCAAACTCGCCCAAAAGGTACTTGATAAGTAAATCAAAAGTGTATTTTTTTGGCTATCATTCTTCAGGTACACAGTATTTGCAACCCATATGGACAGTCTCGCAGAGTTAGCAACCATCTACCCAAATGTCAAGGTTCTTCATTTTTTTTGTAATCCTTACATTTGATCTTCTTGGAGAATGACAGGTAATCCTTACATTTGATCTTCTTGGAGAATGTTTGCTTTTGAGTTTGATCATTACCTGCAAAATCATAAGTAGCATAATAAGAATGTGGTCAAAAGCAAACGAAAATGTGTGTGCTGCAGATGCTAATCAAGTCACCGAGATTTCTTGTTGATATAGACGCAGACACACTTAGTTCGCTGCACTCCTGCAATTTCAAGCGCAAGGAAGAAGATTTAAGCTCTCTGTCTAATCTCGGTGAACTCTTCAATTGATCAAAGCCTCACAGGCAGAAAAGGAATTACCATTTCGGGAGCATTGCATCAGTTCGCCTTCTAATGGAAGATTTGGTTCTTCCAGTCTAAACTGAAAGTTTGCAGGCCTGTGAGAGTCAGAGACGGCAGAATGCAGGTGGGCGTTCTCAACAGGCGGCCAGAATTTTGACAAGAGATTGGCTGAAGAGGAAGAAGATTACGTATATGGAGACACGGAGCCACCACCTTTTGTAGTTCTTCGTTTGAGGTAGTGATGATGATTCACACAAGTTTCATTATAAGTGGGGAATGGGAGTGGGACATTGGCATTGTAATTTAGTTGTTGACCTTTAATTTTGAATTTTTACTTACACTTGACTTGGAATTCCTTAAAACTTTTTAGACGTTGAATCAGCTTCTTTTTCTTTTCTACAAAACGGATTTCTCTTTTGATCTAAATCAAGACAAATCTTGCAATGCGTAAGTCATAATCGAATGTAATTCTTAGAGATTTTGAAAGTGTTAAGAATTTGAAAGTCTTACTTCCTTAGATTTTAGTCGAATCATTACAATGCTCAAGTCCTCAAAATCATATTTAGAAAAGTACATAAAAGTCCCTAAATACCATCAATTCCTAAATCCTAAAATATTTAGACATAACTAATATCCGGGGAGTCTTGGCTGAGTTATCTCGAACTTTCTTCCAAAAACCAACTTATTCCACTTCCAGATTGCTCTCGCCCCATAACGAAGATAAACAGATTCTCTATCCGGCTCTGCAACCAATACGCTCCATCCTCGATGAATCATAAAAGACGTAGAAGAGGAAAAATCTTTGTCACCCGAGATGAGAACGATAACCCCTATAACAC